ACCTTTTGTTATGACATCTATCCTGGGTGTTGCTTATTTTTGCCATCTTAAACTGTAACTATCTTACAACACCATTAAGTTATATTTGACAGGCATTCAACACCACATGCTAACACTATGGCCAAACAACCATAGCTTCATGTCATCATATCAGATAAAGAACATACTCAGAGGCATTCAGAAATCAGTTCCCCCACGTCCCTCTCAGAGATTACCTATAGACAACAAACTTTTCCAATCCCTATCTGACCTATAAGATTTACACCCTGTAACGGCACCCCGAGCATAAAAGGGGTTAAACCGCTGTTTAGTCGATCTTCCAGAGACACAGGCACAGCTACTGCACAACACCAAACTCCCGAACAGGATACCAAGTAGCACTCCAAATTCCCGAACTGGAACCTCACAAATAGCTGCTAGCAGCTGAACAGGAAAAGCACCCAAGCGGCTTACACTCCTGGCAATCAAACTGGAACAGCATGGCTTTTCTGCCCAAAACCAGTTTTACAGAGTCTTCTATCCTGGAGATAATTGGGAAGTAATCCAATTATCTCCAAGGACAGAGGCAAAACTCCATTGAACACATGGCAGCAAAAGACAATAAAACACATAAAAACATAACTGTGCAGCCATTGCACAAAACGGGTACATTCAACATATCCCCAGATAGCTCAGATCTGAGCGCACATTATTACTGAATGGCGCTCAGAGCACACACATACAGTTCAATTGCCATGGAGCCAAAGTCTTTCCCATAGTCTTTCATTATACAAATGGGCTCCATGGCATAGCTATCTGGGGTATCACCGCTCAAACAGGGCAAGCACCAAATGACCCGGCTTTGCAGGGGAAAAATCAAGCCTTTTAACATGGGGCCATAATCCAAAGGCAACAGGCGAGCAACCAGGCTTCTCCAATGCAATGTGGCGAGATTGGTCTCGTCACACACCCATTTAATTCTACCACCAACTCCGTAATTAAAGCGGCCATGTATATAGCCTTCTACGGTTTTCTCAGGCCAAGAGAGTTTACTACCATCACCACCACTCAGACAGATAGATGTTTAATTGGAATCTAGAAGCCAGCTGAAAAGGTTAGGAGTAAAGTTTTCAACGACAAAAATAAAAATTTTAAGGGACACTATAGTCACCAGAACTACTACAATTTAATGTAGTTGTTTTGGAGCCTTTATCCTGTCCCTGCACACTTTTTAATGTAAACACTGACTTTTCAGAGAGGCTGCCCATACCTTTGTGCTCCTGTGTACAACACGCGTTGGAATGGCTGCACACATGGGAGGTGGAGGCTGCCAGCGCAATCACAGTGAGGCCCTAGCGTGACTGTCTCTGTCTGAGACATCACGCCACATGCAGGGGAGGAGTGGATGAGCAAAGTGATTGCCAACACAGTGACACAAATACACAGACACACAGGTACACATACACACAAGTGAACATACACAGGTACACACAGGCACACATAGGTACACATACATACAGGTACACATAGGTACAAATACACAGGTACACACAGATACACATAAGTACTCACTGACACACAAGTACACATACAATTACACACAGGTCAGGGTTGATATCCTGAGGTCCAGTGGGAGCTGGCTGTCCTCGGATGACGGGAGTCCCTTCCCTCCTCCACGTGTGCAGCAGTAAGTTTGTGTTGCCTCCTCCCCCACACAACACCCTGTCAGCAGGTACTCGGTAGGAAGTGATGTAAACTCCCTCCCAGCAGGCCGCGGGGGAAGAACGGACCAAAATGGGCCACGGAGAGGAGGAGTTGAGTGCGTACAAAATGTCAGGGGCCCGGTCGTGGGTTGCGGGGGTGGGGGAAACAAAATAAGAAGGGGCCCAGCCACAGTAATATTAAAGGGCCGCGGGCCCCTGATTAAATTTGGGTGGGCTCAAGGGGCACCTTAAAGACAGCCCTGCCCGGCGTGAGCGCTGAATGCAGGCAGCTGGCAGCCCATGTAGCCTTGGATATAGGGGGCCCTGCCCTCCATCCCAGCCACCCCGACCACAATCCAAAACGAGCCAACATGCACCACCAGTAGAAATCACATATTATCCTACCCACAATAAATGGTGCCCAGTTCCAGTCCTATATTCATACCTTCAAAACCCTGTCGGTTTTCGGTGATCCTTCAATATTGATAGTTATGGCTCGCTTCAGGTATGATGTGGACCTTTACCGACAAAAGGTCACTCCGGGTCATTCTAAGCTTAGTGTGTCTTTATGCAATCTATAGCTGTATACGGAGCAGACCCTTCCGTTCCCAAATTACTTATAAATACTGTTTTCCTTAACCATTCTAGATGATAACTTGACTATCACTAAAATAATCCAGTGTCTGAAGACCCAAAAGGCACTGTAATAATATTGTAATAAATGAAACAATGACTCAAATAAATATAAGATAAAAGTGTATTGAATGAATGTTACAGAATGCAAAAATAGTCAGTAAATAATTAATCTTACCAAATGTATTAGTGGCTACAGCATATGTCCCTGTATACCTTTCAGATGTGTGGTGACAGCAGGCAGAGTAAGAGTAGATGGATGAATGAATGAATGGTGAATGAATGACAACGTCACACTCTTTCTCCTTCAGTTAAATAGCCATTTTGTCCTCCATAAAGCAGCCCCCACCTGTGTAATACTCCCAAAAAGGTATTCTAACTTGTTGCAAGATGTAATGTATTGAATATCCAAGTTTGGGATATACCCTAGATGGCTCTGCCTATAGTTAGCTTCAAAATTAAGTGAAGTGTTTTGTATACATTTGACTGACAACACATGTGTTTGTTCTAATTTAACTTCAACCTTTTAGCTGTTAACCTTGTGGAAATGTCATTGAAAATTTAACTTTTTCAAATCTAAGCAAAAAGGCCTGCACTATTTCATACACCTATGTTATACAGCTAAATGTACATTCATATTAGATATATATATGCACCATACCATATAATACATATATATATTGCAAACTACACATTAAATAATGATCAACACTCCACACTCCCCCACTTGTTTTTCTTCTATGACAAAACCAAAAAGAAAAAACAAGAGAAAAACAGAGAAAAATCAAAAACAAAACAACACTTGTGCCAAAGAGAAGAGAAGAGAAAGAGAGAGGAAAAAAAAATTGAATACAGCAATAATGAAAGCAAAAAATCAAATACAAGTGGTACCAGCAGAAACACAGGAATAAGAAACATAACACAGAGTGACGTAGTAAACTGTGTTAAAGCTACATCAAAGTTCTTTAGATATCTTGATTGAAGAAGTCAAAAACCAGAATCAAATTCGGAATTCAAATAGAAGGAATATCAGCGACATAGCAAGAAACATAGTTCATGGAGAGTTCAGAATTAGAGTCCAGGCCGCAGAATGAAATAGAAATTTGCAGCATGAGAAACACCACAAGACAGTGACAATAGAACGGTCACAGCAACCAAACAGGAAGATTGAGAAGTAGGATAACCATGTTAGCTCCTCAATTCCTTAGGTATATGCAAAGTTTAGAAAATAGTCAGTAGAAATAATATGCATAGTCTTCATCCTAGTACCGATTGTACCCATAGACAGCATAGCAGTCAGTAGGAACTCTTGTAGATATAGGAATTCTTCACAACTAAGCGTAATAAAAGCAGCTGGATATACGTTGACAGAGAAAGTCACTGGTAATAGAGTGTAGCTGGTAAACCTGTCATCAGAATGTACCACTTAGTATTTAACTTAAAGAGACAGAAACGCCCAAGTGCTGTTTAAAAATAAAAGTAAGGAACCAGTTATGACATAGAAGAAAAGCAAAATGGAGATCTAAAAGAAAACAAAAATAATGTAAGAACATGGACACAGAATAAAATCCATAATTAATAAGGAGTTGGAAGCTGAGAGGGATCTAAAGATACAGAATAACCATTTAATGTATATAATGGGAGAAGGCGTTTATGCCTAGACTCTAAGTCTTCCAACACAGTCACCTTTCTACACAGATTACGATGTAAACTTTTGAAATAACAACCACTAATACAGATGAATAAAAATAAAATCAATTGTAAGAGAGAAATAACTACAACTGGATGCAACATTACATTAAAAAAATGTGTAGCAGTATTACTGTATCCCAAAACAGATTCCCACCATGAGGTCTGGCCATCTTGCTTAACAGCAACAGAAACTTGTTTAAGAATCCCTTGTTTATGTGTGACAGTAATTTGAGCTTGGTGCAAAACACTCTTTAATGAATTAAGCAATGTCGTAATTGATGTTGAGTCAGTTAACCATTTTTTCATCTCAGAACCCATACCCAGGGGCAAATCTGACATGGAAAAATCAACAATACGTTCCCATGATAAATCCAAACTTATGTTAGTAAGTTGAGGCATAGTGAAGTTCCATACTGAAGAAGCAATGTAAGACACAGGAATGGAATTACACCAAGTGCCAGGCAATAAGTGAGTGCTGAGAAGAGATTTATCCAGTGTTTTAAAAAATAATTTGATCAGGCTGAAATAAGTGAAAACAAACACGATCTAACCCCAAGTAGTAGACAGGATTTGTAACATTAAATTGACCATGAAAACTACATTCATCCTGATTAACCCAACATGTTTCAGTAGTAGTTTTATATTGGGATGGAGAACAGAGTGACACAAAGAAATGTCTACAAGGGTCCAGTTAGAACTATCCGTACCCTGGGCTACCCATTGATGTGAAAGTTCAGGCAATAATAATGACCCGTTAGACGGTAGGCCAATTGTAGCTAAACGATAAATAATAGCATCTTTGCCTGCCCATGGTATTAATGTATGAATGGCACATTTTTCAAGTGAGCAGTCAGATAGAAGAACTTCCCACCACAAAAGATGAGTCATCGCAAAGTCAGTCACAGATTTTGAAGCAGCACAACTCAACGAAGCAGGCCATCTACCTGACCATAAACTTTGCAACTGAAGTTTAAGATCGGTAGACAGATCAGCCTGAACCTGTGAACATAGCATTGCCCATGCAGTATCACGAGTAAAATTGTAAACTGAGTCGACCAGAGTGTGAAACTTATCAGAAATAATCTCAGTTGTATCTACCATAACATGAGTTTGATGCTGCTGAAGCTTAACAATATTAGTATTAATACCATATTGGGTATCCAGACCCGTAGAAGTATGAGAGGCTAAAGAAGCAAGTTTATATCTTAGAATTTCCGAATTAATTTGTGCAGCTGATCCCACGACACTACCATATGTACCTAACCCAGTAGCTAAAATATCTCGTCTAGGGCGATGGTGTGATCGAAGTGATACATTATACAACATGCTTTCATAAAACCACCACTGAAAAGCTCTTTCCTGTACTGATACGAATGGCGTACAATTGGAATATTGTGTGGAAACCAACCATTTATTTAATTGTAAGTGCCAGGTAACCAAACGATATGAAACATCATATGCTACTTGTGTAGCAGAGTCCAAACGAACTTGAATAGGGTCACCTTCCTGAAATGGAGGTGTGGTAGATTCTGGTATAGGCGTAGAGGGAGATACAGAAGCTATAGGAGTAGAAGGCTGTGCTACTTCATCAATTCTAACTATAAACTGTGGAATACCATTGTCTGTACATTGCCATTCACCTACGGAATCAGAGGGGTTGGAAGTATTAACCAAAATAGTTGCAGGCATCGCAACAGAATTAGAGTCCTGGACTTCTAGACTTCCACAGGTATTAAGATTATCCATGTTAGCCATAGGGCGACTGTTAGAATTAGGAAAAATGCCAGAAGTAGCGGATTGCAAATCAATACTGCATATCAAACAAATATTCTTATCAAGATGCGGAAGTGCACCATATTCTGGAATCAGAAGATGGGTTTTATTAATAAGCCATAGCTGAGCATAGTCAAATTTTGGAACACTAGCAATAAAAAGTGCAACAAATTGTGGGGATGCAGAACTATGAGAAATATGATATATGGGACGGTTAGATCTAACACTATTACGCTGAAAGTTAGACAATAAAGAAAAGATAAGGTCAATGCTGGTAGTAGGGTGTGAGACTAAATATATAGGTTTAAAAGGAGCAAGCACTTCGTAAGAAGTGACAAGACGCTTCTGCAGATTATGATTATCTGGATGCCAAATGTTAGTAAAGGTATAGAGCAAACAAATCACTGTAACGCATCCCACCAAACATGTCCAAGATGCCATAGTCTAATTTGTAGATTATGAAAACCAACAAAATAATTAGTTATGATCAAACTGTAAATTAATGGCACCAAACTTCAAATATAACATGTAAAAATGTGGATAAAGAGATTGTTACAAGACGTTACTATCTATTATTAGTAAATAACATACATAGTGTAAGCATCACACTAAGAAAACATGCAATACGTGCAGAAAGTAGTCTAGCCAAAGCTAGTTTTGTACATCCGGTAGGACCTCTTTTTTTTTCTTTCAAATGAAGATTAGATGTAAAGGCGCCGATCATTCATAGTGAAAAGTAGAGTCTGGAACAGCCGTTCTAGAGTCTCAGTCTCTTTGTACACTTTCTGAAAAACAAAGTAAATATAGAATAACACACACAGAGGGCTTTAAGAGCCCTTAAACAATTTAAGATGCATTGCATGCTTGTAGACATTTAAACCATCTGATTTTTGAATAAGATAAACTGAGGGTCCCACTTTGTCCACAATAAGATATGGACCTTCCCAGCAATCTTTAGGAAATTTCCTAGGGTTTTTCTGTCCTTGTTTAAGCATGCACACAGAATCTCCCACTTGGTATTCAGTAAGGTCAGATTTTTTATCAAAATCACTTTTACTTTTTAAGGCGGACACCGCATCTGTGTGCAGCGCCTGTCCTTGTACAGTGGTGAGCCATAGAGAATGTTCTTTGGCCCATTCTTCATTGCATAATGCTACAGAGGTAGATATATCCATAGGAAGCAAAAGGCGTTCCCATGAAGGCATACTGCGACCAAAAAGTACTTCATAAGGAGACATCTGAATATGCCTGTTAACTCTAGATCTCATCCGAGCAAGGACAAAAGGCAGTAAAATATCCCAATTTTTACCATTGGCATTACAGATTTTGCTTAGTTCCTTTTTTATCTGGCCATTCATCCTTTCAACCATGCCTCTGCTTTGAGGGTGATAAGCAATATGGAAATCCCAAGGGAGATCTAACCAACTTGTGATCTCTTTCAGGATGGTATTGACAAATTCACCACCATTATCTGAATCCATTTGTTTTGGAATCCCAAAGTGACAGAAAACATTTTGCACTAGGATTTTGGCAGTTGTGCCAGCTGTTTTGTTAGGGGTAGCAAAAGCTTCAATCCATCGACTAAAAGAGTCAACGACTACCAATATATAGCGATTTTTACGGGCTGTCAATGGCAGTGTACCTACATAGTCAACCTGTAGTCTGTTCCAAGGTCCAGTAGGAGCATGTCGCATTAGTGCTCCACGTGTTAGTTGTCTTGCTGGATCTTGGTGTGCACAAACAATACATCTATCAATGTGATCTTGAATATCTCTTCTCATAGTAGGCCACCATCCCAGTTTAGACATCCTATCCATACATTCTTGTAATTTGGGATGTCCCCCTGCAATGGAACCATGTACCCAAGCCAGCAAACATTTTACCAAATGAGAGGGAATAACCCAGACAGGACCATGTTCCGTGTCTTTGACTAAAATGTCATGCAAAATTTTCAGTGTTTCTTTACCTAACTTAGGTGCCAGGTCATCAAAAAGAGGAGCGAGTACCAAATCGTACTCCTGATGTTCTCGAAGTACAGACCATCGTGTGCCATCATCGTCAGGGGCATACAACTGCACTGGTGCAAGTGGTGTATGATACAATACATCTTCCTCTTCCCATAGTGGAATATCAGGAAGACATGCAGCCTCTTTTGCGAATTTATCAGCAAGACTATTACCGTATGCCAAAGGTCCCTTAGATCTGTGTGCTTTAACCTTGACGAGTTTGATAAAGCCTACATGATCTTTTGACAAATCCTGTATGCGTTCCCATAAGCCTTTGTGCTGTACTATACTGCCATCAGTGGACTGCCATTTATTGTTGACCCAAAACGTAAGAAGAATCAAAGCTCCTCTGAAAACATACATAGAGTCAGTGACTACAAAGTGTGTACCACCTTTCCCAATTTTGTCTCGGATCAAAGTTAGTAGTGCAGCCAATTCAGCAAACTGTGCTCCTGCATTTTTACAAGCATACTGAAACAAATCAAGAATAGTTCTACCTTCAAGAAGTACACCTGCAAAACCTGTCATGCGCTTACCATCGATGACTGATGAACTAGCATCAATGTACCAAACAGGGTTATTACCCACATCAGCAGGGCTGCCCTCTTTGAAAACAGAATGTGCTTTAGGAGCAATCATAGGATGACATACATGATCCTGACCTTGAATAAGAACACCCAACACATGTACAGAGGGTTCCTTTAACGGTTCCACTGTAATGTGTTCAGTGAGCAGCGTAGTCATCCATCTCACCACACGTTCATTACGAATGTCACTTAAAGCCAAATTATGTTTTTTCAGCAAAAGCAGGGGATTATGATGTGAACGAATCACAATGTGCTGACCGCTGAGAAGATATCTCAGTCTTTGTATGGTCCAGTATGTAACTAGGGCAATTTTTTCACAAGGACCAAATTTCAATTCAGGTGATGTCATTTTGCGACTTAAGTATGCAATAGGGGCTATTATATCACCATGGTATTGGGCCACTACTGCACCAAGTGTTGTATCAGACACACTAGAGTATAAATAAAATGGTTTGTCTGATGCTGGAGTGCCCAAAATGGGTGCACTAGCTAATGCAGATTTGAGGGAGGAAAATGTCTGTGTATGAGAATCATTCCATTCAAATTTGTTTTGTTTCAGTAGGTCAGATAATGGTTCTGCAAGCAAAGCATAATTAGCAACAAATTCTCTGCAAAATCCTGTAAGCCCAAGAAACTGCTGTAAAGATTTCACATCTACAGGTCTTGGTAGGGAAAGAATATGTTTAACCCTATCTTCAAGAATACTTCTGCCTGTTGGACCAAGTTCCAATCCGAGGTAATTAACCTTCTGTTGGACCAACTGACACTTGTCAGGGTTAAGTTTCAAGCCATGCTTTTTAAGGCATTCCAAAACCTTTTTTAACAGTTTAATGTTACTCTCTCTGGAATCATTAGCTATTAACAAGTCATCAACATACTGAACAATTTTGTTATGCAAATTATGAGACTTTAGAGCTTGAGCTAACATGCTGTGAAAAATTGCAGGGCTATCACAGTAACCTTGAGGAAGAACTGTCCAGCAATACTGTTTAGACTGAAAAGCAAATGCAGTACGATACTGAGTTTCAGGAGTGACTTGTACACTATAAAACCCATTTGCAAGATCTAACACGGTATAATACTGCATTTCAGGAGTTAATTTAGCAATCAGTTCAGGGTAAGAGGCCACAACAGGTGCTGTTCTAAAAACTGTCTCATTTAGTCGTCTGTAATCAATGGTTAAACGCCAAGTGTTGTCTTTTTTACGAATAGGCCACACAGGACTCGAGCCTGCAGTTTGGCATGGTCGAATTAACCCACGCTGTAACAATTGGTCAATGATAACTTCTAAATCCTTTTCTGCCTCACGTGGAATTGGATACTGTTTAACATATGGGTGGTGTGTACCATCCAAAGAAACCATTAATTGTGATTTACCACAATCTAGACTATCTTTGGCCCATACATCAGCATATTCATGCCACCAAGATTCTGTATCCACAGGAGGAGCAGGAGGGTGTTTGATTTTAATACCCTTTACGGCCCCAACATCCTCATGTGGATAGACAACATGCACAGGAGGCAAATTGGAGCCTAAACCGATCCGAGTATGCTCAGAAGGGCTAGTACTCCCCTCAATATTCCAAAGCATGTGATTCATTAAATCAATGATAAACCCAAACTTTACAATATCCGGAGCTCCCAACAGAGATAACGCATCTTTTTCCAAAAACACATCAGAACGTATAGTCTTAGAGCCAATCTTCAACGTCCTAGGTTCAACATACACTGTTTTTGGCATGCCAGTAACCCCCACAATGCAAGCAGTAGTAAATTTGCTAGTTTTTGGTGTACCAGATATTAGTGTAGCAGCTGCCCCTGTATCGATTAGAGTGTTAATTTTCTCCCCATCTACCAACATAGTACACATTGGTCGTCCCCATTTATCTAGATCCAGAGGCCAGTCGAGACAAAGAGGAGAGGAGAAAACACATCCCTAGCAGGAGGAGAGGGGTGGAAGGGAAGTTGTTAGAGTTGCAACAGGCATTAAATTAGCTTGCTCTACTTGTTTTCTAAGTAACTCAACAGAATGTTGTAACGCTTTTTGAGATGCAATAATATCCCTCAAGGGAATCCACTCACCATCTTTTCCTATGCCACGTCTTGTAGTATTAAATCTACCTCTAAAACCACCCCGTCCACGGTACTGTGGACCTTCTGTCTGCCAAGTATTAGAGGCATTATTTAATTGCTGTCCATCTCTCCAAGATCTTTGAGCCTGATATGTTATTTCAGAAATCGGAGAGGGTTTAGAATATCTATCCATTTCAACTTGCAAACGGTCAAGCCATGAATTAAAGTCAACATTCCTCAGGTCACCGTAACAGATGGTCATAACATGAGAAATGTTACTTGGTACAAGAGTGAAAATTAACTCCCGCACTGCTGGATCCAATTTAAGGTCAGCTTGTATTTCAGAACGTTTTTCTGAAGAAGTAGCCCCATTAGTAAGAGCAGCAAGGAAAACAATTACTCTGTTAGCAGTTTCTGTGATAGACTCATTAGGAAGTGAGATAAAAGCTTTGTTAATCTGGAACGGACTAGACAAATGAAATAGTTTATGGCAACACCGTTCTAACAGCTGAGAAAAAGTTTGTGCAAAACCTTCTATGACAGCTGAACAGGATCCCAGACCTTTCAGAAAAATCTCTATTAGTTGTGAATCCGAAGAACCCCAGCGAAGGAGTTTTCCGATCCAATGTGTGAATCTATTGAAATCCTCAATAGTACCCTTATTTACAGGAGCTTGCCCTATTTCAGATAAGACAGCCCTGGCTTCTGTCGCTTTCACAGAAGAAGGTGCTGTCATGTGTACATTAACAGGATCAGAAATAACAATATGTCGTTTAGTTTTAGCCTCTTTAAGGTCACTTTGCAGTTGTTTGTTAGCAGTCTTAAGGTCTTGTGTAGTATCATGCAATATGCTAGTAGTCTTTTCTTGTTTTTTAGTAGTAGCCTTAAGTTTGTCATTTACCCGTTGTAACTCGTCATTGTCAAGCCTAAAACGTTCAAGGTCAGTTTTAGTCTCAGTTAATAGTCGTGCAGCTTCAGACAACTCTGCTTCTAAGTCTCGTCTCTGCTGGTGTTCTTGTGAAAATGATTGTTTTACATTATGTAAAGTCATTTCCATATCATTATATTCTTTTTCTATTCTAGCATGATGTGCAGAAATTTCCTTCAATTTGTCATCTGATAACACTTCGTTAGCCTCTAATTGAGGACCACGTGTTATAGGATTACAAGGAACAAGATTAGTTTTAGAAAATTCAATTGGCAATTCTGGATACAAATGTGTATACGTGGGAGGAGCAGAGGGGACAGAAATTGTTTGTGAAGGAAACTCAATATTTTCATTTTTATGCTCCATCCACATAGCAATGTCGTCTTCATTAATTAAAGCAGAAGGAAGATCGACGGACAAGGTGGCAATCTGATACCATTTGTTTTCATGAGCAACAGGGGATTTTTTAAATATAGCACTTCCCCGAGCCTTACCTCCTAGTTTTAAAGAAGGACAGTGCTTAGTACGCAGGCATTGTAAGGTGTCTACAGCTTGATCAAGGATAATATTTTTGGATTCTAAATTATGAACTTTATCTTGTAAGAATCCAGCAGCGTGAGCTGCATTTTGTGCCTGGGTGCGGTAATCTTCTAATTGTACATGCAGCGTATCAATAAGAGAAGCTTGCAGATTAAAACTAACTTGCAACTGTTCAATCATTTGGAGGGACATCATTAGCATATCTAGTAAAGCTTGCAAACTTCTACCCTTTTTTACTTTGTCATCTTTAAGCTGCATTATTGAGGGTAATACTTGAAAAATGTCCTCTAGAAACAGTGCATCACTTATATTTTCGCCCAACTTAAATGGACCTCCATATTTTTTTATCCAACATTTTATATATTCTTGAAACACAGAAGGGAAAGAAAACAAAACAGGGGAATTAACGGATCTCTGTTCAGTATTTAAATCAATAGGGTCACATGATCTAGATTCAAGATTACCTATCCTATTTGGAAACTTAAAGAAAGACATACTTACAAAACGAGGATCCTTCCAACAACTGAGTACACCGTGTTCTCCACTGCAAAAGACACGACTAAACCACCCAAGGACGAGGCCCCCAGAATGTCGGTTTTCGGTGATCCTTCAATATTGATAGTTATGGCTCGCTTCAGGTATGATGTGGACCTTTACCGACAAAAGGTCACTCCGGGTCATTCTAAGCTTAGTGTGTCTTTATGCAATCTATAGCTGTATACGGAGCAGACCCTTCCGTTCCCAAATTACTTATAAATACTGTTTTCCTTAACCATTCTAGATGATAACTTGACTATCACTAAAATAATCCAGTGTCTGAAGACCCAAAAGGCACTGTAATAATATTGTAATAAATGAAACAATGACTCAAATAAATATAAGATAAAAGTGTATTGAATGAATGTTACAGAATGCAAAAATAGTCAGTAAATAATTAATCTTACCAAATGTATTAGTGGCTACAGCATATGTCCCTGTATACCTTTCAGATGTGTGGTGACAGCAGGCAGAGTAAGAGTAGATGGATGAATGAATGAATGGTGAATGAATGACAACGTCACACTCTTTCTCCTTCAGTTAAATAGCCATTTTGTCCTCCATAAAGCAGCCCCCACCTGTGTAATACTCCCAAAAAGGTATTCTAACTTGTTGCAAGATGTAATGTATTGAATATCCAAGTTTGGGATATACCCTAGATGGCTCTGCCTATAGTTAGCTTCAAAATTAAGTGAAGTGTTTTGTATACATTTGACTGACAACACATGTGTTTGTTCTAATTTAACTTCAACCTTTTAGCTGTTAACCTTGTGGAAATGTCATTGAAAATTTAACTTTTTCAAATCTAAGCAAAAAGGCCTGCACTATTTCATACACCTATGTTATACAGCTAAATGTACATTCATATTAGATATATATATGCACCATACCATATAATACATATATATATTGCAAACTACACATTAAATAATGATCAACACTCCACAAACCCTACCTCACATCCATCACTACCATTATTTGCATTACAAGGCTTACTACCGCTCCGAGATAAAGGATATTAGGTCGCGCCAAAAAATATTAGAAAATATTAAAATATAAGAATAATAAAACTGATGGGAGAAAAATAAACCAAAGATAAAAAAAGTGATCTTATAAAAAAAAACTATAAAATAATGAGAAAGCAACAAAATAAGTACTTACAACAGTACATATGAACATAAATAAGTCCTTGGGTAAGCTGAAAATGGTCAAATCCACTTGAGAAGTTGTGAAAAAAGATAATAGTCCAAACAAAGGAATAATCAGGAGTTTCTTGTTCCGGGTGGCGATATGCAAAATAGAACAAAGGGAAATTCCAATAGTGTAGTCTCTAACTTAGGTTTCTTATGTGTAGATTCAAGGTAATAAGGTATCACACTCACCTATTGAAGAGCTTGAACTAGCTCAGGTGTACTTCGCATTCAGTGGTATTAATCCCCCACTGATGGGGTATAGGCGTATACACGTGGAGAAAATCCTCGAGAGAAGAAGAGAGTAACACAAAATAGTGCTCACTTTATAACTAAATTCGACGTAAATTGAAGTAAATGTAGAATACTCACATTTAAGTGAGCAGGTCCAGAGGTAGAATAAATAAAAAGTTAAAAAATGGAGATAAAAGGTATATGGCAAGGAGAAAAAGATGTATATTAGCCAATAATCCTTTATTAATACAATATAAAATAATGCAGTACTATAATAAAATAGCCAAAACGCGTTTCGCCACACAGGGCTTTTTCAACTGGCATATAGAAACAGAGACCTGGTACAGAATGGTTTATATAAACTTATGGTTCAAAATTGGCGCCAAAATGACGTCATAATTTATGCATAAGGTAATGAGAGACATATATATGAGTATAATAAACTTCAAAATTAGAATAAAGTGCTGGAAAACATATCCATATAGTGTTACTACTATATATAAACATTGTGAATAGTAATATTTTACAAAGTAGTGAAACGAGAAAAATAACTAGCTTAGAGCGATCATGTGACCGCATACATCCAATGGTATCAACACATATGAGGGAATAAGTCATAGAGGACGATGGGAAATGTAGGAAAACGGGTATGGTAATAAAAAAAAGAGTAACTTCCGGGTTTCGGCGGTCACGTGACGCGGCGCAGCCAATAGCGCGCCTACATCACGTGCACCCCGAAAGGGCGGATGGGAAATGTAGGAAGACCGATATTGTAACTAGAAGTGAATTTGTATGAGCAGTGTAACGTCCCAAATCGAAAATTATATAATAAAAATGTGAAAATAAGGACAATGATGACTTAATAAAGCAACTATGTACCATATTAAAAAAAGGAATAGTAATAAAAGAAAGACAAGTGTGCATAAAAAGGGGAAAAAGAGATAAAGCTGGGAAATGGAGATATAAACGTACATGTATATTAAGAAATGGAATGGGATAAAAATATATTTCATAAGAAATAGATATAAAGGAATAGGGAATATATGTATACATATATATGTAGTTAAATATAAAATATTTCCATAATGGATAACCTTATGTGTTACAAATAAAAATTATATTACAATAAAAAAGATAAAAATATTGAATAAAAGATATTACTGAAATATAAAAAGAAAGGTTTTTATATAAAAAATATAGAAATGTTAGAAATTTTTTATAAAAAAAAAATATATAATATTAAAGATAGTATTGTTTTATAAAAAGTTAAAAAGGTCAAATTCAAGGTTTAGACCCTCAGGAGAGAGGGTTTTAAGTTGAAATACCCATTCCATTTCTTTTTTACCAAGAATCTTTCTCATATCACCCCCTCTCCAGGGGGTATTACATTGTTCTATACCCATACATTTAAGTAGTTTAGGATCTTTATTATGTTTTATAAAATGTTTGGATACAGAATGATTTTCATATCCTTTAATAATGTTTCGACAATGTTCAGCTAATCTCGTTTTCAAACATCGTTTAGTCATACATATTGTAACCCACAAGGGCACTCTAAAAGATAAATTATATTTTTAGAACTGCAACCAATAAAGTCTTTTATAGGATATGACTTGCCTGTATTAGTCGAAGAAAAATGGGTAGTTTTGGATTTAATGGTTGCGGAGTTTGTGGTTTTACACACAATGCATCTGTTGCACCTGAAGAAACCTTTTGGTTTTGTCATAACATTTTTGTTATTCTGTGCATGATATTTAGTATAATTTTTTTTTAGGGTATTTTTAAAGCTAGGAGCCCCTCTAAAAATAATGTTGGGTCTGTCTGGGATTTGGTCTTTCAGAAGATATCTTTTTCTCCTTGCCATATACCTTTATCTCCATTTTTTAACTTTTATTCTACCTCTGGACCTGGTTTTTATTTCAAGCATCAGTATATCTGTGCTCAAGAATCCTAGGTGGGGATTATACCACCTACGCCATATTAGTGAGCAGTATATCCTGCTCACTTAAATGTGAGTATTCTACATTTACTTCAATTTACGTCAAATTTAGTTATAAAGTGAGCACTATTTTGTGTTACTCTCCTTCTCTCATTATTTTATAGTTTTTTTATAACATCACTTTTTTTATCTTTGGTTTATTTTTTTCCCATCAGTTTTATTATTCTTATATTTTAATATTTTCTAATATTTTTTGGCGCGACCTAATATCCTTTATCTCTTAGATTTTCCTCTTCTTTTGACGTACTGTGAGGGAGCGTCTCATTTTAGGTTGCTGCCTACATTCAAATACATTCTGCACTATTCTATTGAGACACCAAGCGCTGAACCAACTACCATATACACTTACTACCACTACATTTATGAGATATGTCAGATCTCTGTTAACTCAGCTAGGTCACAATCCTTCTACCTAGTCTGGTCACTCCTTCCGTATAGGGGCGGCCTCCACAGCTTCCAGCGCCAACTATAAAATCACCGGGGCGATGGAAATCTTCTGCTTACACACAGTACATACCTCAACCAGTACAAGAGATACGAAATGCATTTAAGGAAATGTCTGGTTAATTTCTTTGTATTTTGTTGACTGAATTAAATCTTTGTTTATTCACTTACCTATATAGGGTACACCCCTTACCTGGCTCCATACCGTTCGAGGTGAGCGTTTGATTGACCCTCCCACCACTCCACATTCTCAACACTTTCTTTTCTTACTCCTTGGTGGGCCCTCTTTATTTACAGGCCTACCGTATCGTCGGTCCAGGCACACCACAACCGACTTGCTCTTTATACTATCCTAAGCTTATACTGGAACTTACTCCTTATACGGCTATGTGCCCCTAACACAAATAAATATATATATATATATATATATATATATATATATATAACAGGGATTTTTTTGCATCTTTAAAACATTAGCTATTAATTAGCTAAACTCGTCTTTTATCTGTCTAAAGTAGTCAAGTCGACTTCTGTTGCATGCATGTCTAGAAAAACAAATGCAATGTCAAAATTCATCAAATTGTATAGGTCCAAATTTAAAAAACAGTGCAAGAGAAGGTGAAATAATTGAATTACAAACCAGATAATAAACAAAGAGACATTGCTGCAATTTCACAATTCAGGTTGATCTCAACAGCTTTTGGCAAACAGGTTGCCCCCTGCCTGTCCACCAGCTGTTGTTTAACTATTATTCTCATTGCTTGGCTGATTGAAGAAGATTGAAGATGTGCTATTAAATCAACAGGGTTTTCACAATTTTATTCCTGCAGGTTTAGTTCAGTCTTTTAGTATAG